TCGACACCAGACTGGCCAACATGGTGAAACCTTGTCTCTACTAAAAATACAAAAATTAGCCGGGCGTGGTGGTGGGCACCTGTAATCCCAGCTACTTGGAAGGCTGAGGCAGGAGAATCGCTTGAACCCGGAAGGCAGAGGTTGCAGTGAGCTGAGATTATATCATTGCACTCCAGCCTGGGAAACGACAGCAAAACTCAGTCTCAGTAAAAAAAAGAAAAAAGAAAATTGTTCTGGCTGAAGAATAACTCCAGTTCCACTGTGAGCTGGAACTTGAAAGGTAGAGAATACAAAATTAAAAGAGAACTTTGAACTCCCCTTTTCCATCTAGGAGGCAGGTTAATTTAATTGCTAATTCATTTTCTCATGGAAAATAAAGGTTTCGACTCAGGAGGCAGAACCAAAAGCTACAGAGAGCAACTCACAGAGAGTAAATTGAACACTAATGAAGGAATTGGCAGCATGTTCTCAGGTGTGTTTCAGAGTCGCTACAGGCTAGTGACAGCTGTGTGCCACATTTTCCTCATTTTTGAACAGAAGTGTTTATAGGAGTTATCTTACACTTCTCCCACCGTTGTATTATGAACATGCTTCTGCGAGGATAGCTAACTTGTTTGTTTCAAAGCTGTTCAGATTGAGAAGAGTGATATTCAAGGAGCTATACCCAAGGGACTGTTCTGAGCCTCATCTATACCTGGATCTGATATAAATGATGAAATCTTGGACCTTCAGCCTGAGTGTGATGCTATAATGAAATGAGGGATTTTGCAGGGAGAGGGTTTAGAAGAGAGATGGGTGTATTTTACACGTGGAGGAATGTATGGCCAGAAGGCAGACTTATTTTCCAAAGATGGTTACAATTATTTCCCATTCCACATGCTCTTCTCCAGAACCTTTCCACTCTTCTTTCAAGAGGCAGACTATGTTCTCCTTGAACTCTGGTTAGCCTTTGACTGCCTTGTTCAATAGAGCATGGCAGACTGATAGTATGTATAATAGCTTCCAAGACAAAGCTGAACAAAGGTCAATGCAAGTCTGCCTTACTTGGTGTGCTCACTCTTGGAGACTACTTTTATGGCAGGGAGGTTGGTGCTGGCTGTCAATAGGGAACTCAGGAAGGGATATGATTTAGGGGGTTCTCAATTTCTCTCCATCTGGGCCTTCTTGCTAATTACTTGGGCTGACTTTCAACCCCTCAGTCAAATTGCCCCAGCCCGTGCCACTTGGAACAGTGGTGATCCATTCCTACCAAGTCCTGTCCCATTTGCAGACTCCTGAGAAAAATACATGGTTAGTGTTTTAAGCTGCTGTTTTAGGGTGGTTTGCTACACAACAATAGATAACTGAAACACACCTGAAAACAGTCACATAAAACAAAAACGATCTATTTTGCTCACAAATCTGCAGTTTGGACAGGGCTTGAGAGGGACATCACTGCTCAGTGGAGGTTATGTGAAGTCTCCACTGAGATTTAAATGGCTGGGGGCTAGAATGATCTGGAGGTGTTTTTCACTCATATGTTTGGCACTTGGGCTGAGATAACTGAGATGCTGACCACAACTGAGACTGTCACAGGAGTGCCTGTGGTTGACTTATACATATATTTTAAGCTTCCTCACAGCATCACAGCATCACATCCTCAAGGTTGTCAAACTTCTTTTAGTTTTTTTTTTGAGACAGAGTCTCGCTGTGTTGCCCATGCTGGAGTGCAGTGGTGTGATCTTGACTCATTGCAACCTCTGCCTCTCAGGTTCAAGAGATTCTCCTGCCTCAGCCTCCTGAGTAGCTGAGATTACAGGTACCCGACACCACACCTGGTTAATTTTTTGTATTTTTAGTAGAGATGGGGTTTCACCATGTTGGTCAGGCTGGTGTCGAACTCTAGACCTCAGGTGATCTGCCCTCCTCGGCCTCTCAAAGTGCTGGGATTATAGGCATGAGCCACGGCGCCTGGCCCAAACTTCTTACATAGTGGCTCAAGCTCCAAAGGCAGGTGTTCCTGGAAAACAAGGTGGAATCCTCATGGCCTTATATGACCTCGCCTGCAAAGTCAGGTAGCATCACTGCCGCTCTGCTCTACTGACTGAAACAGTCACAAGTTCATCCAGATTTGAAGGGAGGGGACATAGGTCTCCCATCTCTTGATGAGGGAAATGCCAATGAATTTACAGCTATGTTTTAAAATTACCATAAACAAGCCTGGTGCAGTGGCTAACACCTGTAATCCCAGCACTTTGGGAGGCTGAGGCAGGTGGATCACTTGAGGTCAGGAGTTCAAGACCAGCCTGGCCAATATGGCGAAACCCCATCTCTACTAAAGAAATACAAGGCCAGGTGCGGTAGCTCATGCCTGTAATCCCAGCACTTTGGGAAGCTGAGACGGATGGATCACGAGGTCAGGAATTTGAGACCAGCCTGGCCAATATGGTAAAACTCTGTCTCTACTAAAAATAGAAAAATTAGCCAGGCATGGTGGCAGGCACCTGTAGTTCCAGCTACTCGAGAGGCTAAGGCAGGAGAATTGCTTGAACCCAGGAGGTGGAGGTTGTGGTGAGCTGAGATC